TGGTAGACAGTATTTTACGTCAATGTTTACGTCTTCAGTATTGGTCGTGAGAAAAATAAGAACAAAGACTGATTTTGCGTAGGCGGATACAGTTAACATATAGATGACCTTGACATTCAAGAAACAGCCACAAAGAGATGCAAGGTTAACTTTCTGTAAGAAAGAACCAATCAGAAGACTGTGTTTGTCTGCTAACAATAATCTATAATATGTACATGCAAATCTATAAATATGTCTTGTTTTGATTAATAAAGGATCTGTTGCCTAGCTCTTGTCTTCTGTTGTTACAATAGTAATAATAAAGACAATAGTTAGTGATATAATCCAGATAGAAGATGAGGACGTGACAACAAGCTCATAATTCATCTCTTTCTTGTGTATGCGAATCAAAAGTATCAGTCAACAACTGTTAGTAGCGAGAGATCCCAAGTCCTGATTAAACACCGGTATTATCCAGTATTGTCATTATTCCCTTGAGTTCTGAGTGGAACATAGGGCTTCAACAACACATCTCCACTTTCTTCTATTTTCTGCCATCCTCTTCAGCTGGGTCCACGACTGCCCATAATCTCTCATCTCCTCCTAACACGATCGCCTCCATGTCACTCTCGCACTGCCGACCCAATCTTCGCTTCCAATATGATTTCCACTGAAATGATGGCCAGCAGTGTGCGCGATGTCATTCAATGATCTCCTCAGTGACGTGTGCCCGATCCATCTCTACTTTCTCCTACATATTTCTTGAGCAACCGGCTCTTAGTTGGTTTGTTCCCAGTGTTTTTTGCCTTTCGACCTTCAGTATGCAGCCAGTGAAGATTAAAGTCTGAAACCTGTTGGAAATCCTTTCCGTGACACACAGTGCAAGTTTCTGACCCGCATAGAAGAATCGACTTGACATTAGTATTGAAAATGCAAATCTTATCCCTTATGCTGAGTACAGAAGATTTCTAAATTGGTTTCAGACTGATGAAGGCGCGTCTTACCTTTCCGATTCTAACTTTGACATCTTCATTCGTTCCATCTGTAGTTGAAGCGGTGCTTTCGAGACAACTGAAGGAAGTGACCTCTCTTCCGTTGATGGTGATTAATGCTGGTTGTTGCTGTTGGTTGACTATCTTCATCACCTCTGTCTTCTCTATGTTCACCTGTAGTCTTGTTTTCGCTGCCAGGCTTTTCAGCCAGTTTGTTGGTTTTTGCCTGTAAGTTTTTGCATTGATGATCTCAATCGGGTATTTATATCTGCTACCTCAACAATATTTACAAAAGTGATATTCTGTTATTCTTATTTCATTGAATGATTTTTAGAGAGTATAGATTCTCTTGCTGATTCACTGAAAATGTTTCTTTTGTCTTAGATGTGTGCACTTATTATTATTATTGTTACTGTTACCTAAAACACGTATTCTTTCAAATGAAATGAAAAACCATGACAAAAATGTGTTTTAAACGACATTTCGCTACATCTTACTAATATATCTTTATTAATCGACATATGGCAGGGCAACTGGATCAAAATACTTCTGCATGTGAAAGTGCTTCTGAGTTGTCTGTCAGTCAAAATACAAGAAGTGATAACAACAGCAGACATATGAAGATTGTTAGATTTGTTAAGTGTACAGAATGGGTTTGTGTTGTGAAAATTTTTTCTATTAAATCTGTGATGACAATTCTATATACTATTGATACGTACGAGTAGTTTTAGACCACTCATGTGGACGATATACCCCGTTTAACTCACCTAGCTTGGGGATAGGCTTGGTCCCGAACGAACGAAATGGAAGTCTGGTGTTTACATCATCACTGCAATTTGGTTAGAAAGCGCTACTCACATTAATCAATCATAAGAAAGTAGTACCACGCTATTCCTCTTGTTTATTTTTTACTGCCATTAGTATTATCGAGCGGATCACACATTGTGATCTGAATATTATTGAATTTTAAAGGGAACTGTGAAGATTTCTAACAATTCGTAAATGAAAAAAATCTAATTCGGCGCTGCTAATTTTACTCTGTGGGAGGAAAAACCGATGAATTCAGGCCACATCTTACCTTATTCCCGTATTCGGCTTACAGTACTAAGTCATTCAAACAAATGGGAGAATATCAGGAGACTAGAATTTGAATAGCAGTTAGATACTTATTTTTCTTTAGATAATCAGTATTCCATTTCATGTGAAGTGTCCTACTACTGTGCAAAATGCTTTACAGTTTTGAACAGTTTCCTCAACGACATATCAAAATGACCAAAATCGGTCTTATACCTTGTGATATCATAATGTGTAAAGCAGCATTAAGAAGTGAAGTAAGACGTCATTAATACACATGTGTAAAACCTGGACACTGTAGTAACATGTACCTTCATATTAGTTTGTTTATAATATAGATCACACGGTGAAACAGTGTAATTTACGAGGTGACGTTCCGAACAGAATTTATTGTTTACAACTATACGAAGTTTAAATGAAAAAAACTCCAGCTTTTACTTTCACTTATCCTATGGGTAGTCGGATTTTCCAAATGTCCAGAACAAGGTTGGCGTCATTCTAACATCATCTGTTCCAAGTTGATTCGATAAACAAAGACTTTGTCATCCATCTCTCCATCTCCCACTAACTTGCTGCATTGGACAGGCTCCATAGCATCCTTTAATAGATACTAGTTGTCTTCTACTCATGTGTTGTGAACAATACTGAGCAAAGTTTTAACAGGTACAATTTTAATAACTAGCCAAGTGCTATTCTTGCATTAAAATTGCAAAGGTTCCTTCTTTGCACAACAGCGCTAGTGATATTTTAAACTCAATTGTCTTAGTGATGTCATCTCAATGCATAAATTTAGTATTCATGTAATTCTTATTGATTGATTTTGTTTTTATTCTCACAATCTCCAACATAAATACTCACAAATGTTATTTTACTAGCGAGGTTGCTAATTAGACAAGTCAAGCTAGTAGTAGTACACCAGAGGCAGTTAGTTTGTTAGAGCGAAACAGCCCTACCCAAATCAAGATTAACAGGCTTTACGAAAACAGAAAATGTGCGTCAGTGGCTTAGTGGGGGGAATGCTCGCCAACCAACCATGTGGTCCGGGGTTCGGTCCACGGTCGACGCACTCCTTCATCTCATCAAGTCAGAAACAAGACCGGTACAGAGGGAAGGTTGCTCATGAGGCTAACAACAGCATCCTGGAAAAACAAACACCACTGTTACCGAAACTTCGAAGCTTTATCTTGAAGCCCTATGTTTCGCTGGGAACGAAAAGGAAGCAGAAAAGAAAGACAGAAAATGTACAAAAAATGTACAAAAGTGTAAAATCATTCACATGTGAAAGCGTGAAACAACTAAATGGTGACTGGAAGTAAACGGCATATTGCTAATTGATTCAGAGGACATAAGCTTAAAAGTGAACTCGTATTTAGATACATTTACTCTAATGTATTTGTACATGTCGTTTACGTGCAGTTCTGGTTTGAAACTCTTCAACTACTCGCAACTATTCCTTCTAGTCACAATATATCATGAATTGGCAGAAGCCGGTATTCACGAGCCATTGGATCATGTCCCACTGGCTTAGTGGTCTACTAGCTCATCTTGTAGCCGGAAGATTCTGGGTTCGAACTTGGGAAGTTGAGCAGTGTTGAAAAGCCCCCAAACTAGAGTAAAACGCCTGCCCAGTAATTCCAGGTTTTCCTATGGTCAGCTCATGATGAAATCCTGTAAAGATCGATATTATTTCTGAGTTAGAGTATACTTTACTGATTTATATGAAAAATTGTAAAACCACAGGCGTCACACACAAGTGTCTACTGGCCGGATATAAATTTATTCAGATGCCAAAGGTCCCTTTAACTTTTTTTCTGGCCAAACTCAACAGCAATGTACCCAGCTGATACTATTATGCTTTTTCCCTCAATTTGAACATATAGTAAAGCAAGCAGATCACATATCCCGACCTAGATGTTTTGAGTTTCTAAAGAAAACCATTGGGAATTCGCAATCTAGGTTTGCTTGATTCGCAAATTATAATTTATGTATATATGACAGACTGAGCCTCAACATGGAACTATGCATAAAACTGCAGCAGTTCAAAAATGCCACAATACATAAAGTAAACAAAGTAGCTACATAAAAGGGAGAAAAAAGAAATTCAGATGAACTATAATGAGTAGAAATATACGAAGGAAAGAATAATAACATGAAGAGACATTAGGGTTTAATGGATATTTGAGATCACAGAGAGTGAATGCATCTGCACCATCATTGACAACAATTTTCAGACACATCTTACCAATGTTAACCAGAGATTAGATTTAAGCATCCCGAAGAACCCAATCAAACAGTCTACACCTCCCTAAGTGGCTGGCTCAAACTAACTGTCAAAGACTTCATAGGTTGATTCCACGTTTTGGTTTGACCTCCACGAACTATCTTTCGACCTAATTCTATGTCAGCTAAAATTTCACATCAAGGAAGGCGATGGTCAGGCATGAACAACATACATCCTAGCCATCTCAAACCATTCACCATCACAACCCCATCGACTGACTTGCTCACCTTACCTAGCAACTCGATGCCTAACCTCAATATTACTCACCCTATTATGCCACCTAGCACTGGAGGTAGAATGCGAACACCTGTGATCAAAAACAGCTAACCTCTTCAGGTATTCCACTTTCAATGGCTATGTGTCACAGAGAAAAAAAAGACAAAACGAAATACAGCGCATTGCACACACACACACACCCTATGATAGATATCCGGACATCACGTCTATTCCAGAGATGATGTAATTCAGCGAATTCCACACGAACTTTTTGTATCCCTACTGAAATTTCGTCAGCAATCGATCAAAAAGGCTAATATAATTGCTCTTATCTTATTTAAAGACAATACAAATAATTTGGCGTAGCTGAACAAAACTCAGACAATTAAATCATGAGAAATGATAATTTTCAGCGATAACAGCCGTACAATTATTATACAAAAAGAAAGAAGACTTACAATCTGTAAAGTACTTGCTTTGTTGCTAGACTTTGAATCGCCTTTGAATTTCTCTTCAGATACATCCAAATCATAAAATGACTGAGTATCAGACAGGTCATCTGTAAGAAATAGCAGGGTAGAAAAATATAAAAAAAACTTTTGATCAAAAATATAAATATGGGAAAACATTTTTTTGAACAAGGAACAAATCTGAAGACGACGAAAGGTAATGATAACTATAGAGTGGTCTGTCTGTCTGGATTCAACATAGAACTTGGCACCGAAGTGCAGCAGTTCGAGTTGCCACGTTCCAAATAGCACACAGAGGTAGACAAGAAGATGAGTGAAGAGAATCAATAGAGTTTGACAAGTATAAGAGTGAAACAGAATGGGTAATGGTAGAAAGGAATATGAAAGATTACAGAGACTGAATACATCTGCCCAGGCCATTGACAACGATTTTGAGCCATGTCACCTACTGTCTCCAGCCATTGATTCCTAGAGTCCCGAGGGCCCCAACCCGGAAGTCTGCATCTCCTTACCTGACTCAGTTTAACTGTCAAGGATTTCATGGATTGATGCCATGTTTTTGTTTGGCCACCACTGGCTCTTTTCCAACCTGAACCTATATCAGCTAGCAAAGCCCGTCGGGGGAGGCGGTGGTTAGGCATGCGCAGCACGTGACCTAGCCCGACCGAAAGCTGCTACCTTGACGTGGTGGTCGGGCTTGAACACCGCAATGACCTAATCAAGCTATACTGGCTGAGACTTATGTCTCTTGAGGTTCTACCATGCCAGGCAGGTTGTTTGGAAAGCGGTTAAACAAAAAGCAGCTAACTCATCCAATACCATAGAGTGGTAATCCAATAACCATATGGCATCAGATACTACAGAGTTACTTTTCATTTATCGTAGATGTTAATTAATTAATATGACAAGTTCAATGCTTAGGGAGAAAGACTCAGTGTCTGTGTGTTTTCAGTGGTTGGTTTGTAATAGGGTTTGACACATTTGAAGTTGGATCACATCCTGGAGAACGGTCCAATATTTCTAGCCACAGAATTCATTTATTTCTCTTTCAGGAGATTTCTCACACGCGTACTGAAAGTGGGTTGTGAGTCGAAATATAGATGAATACATTTATGAAGTGAATTAATTGACCAACTGGTCAATGTAGAAAACAACGAGTTCATAGTAACACACCTTTAGAAGAAGCACGTCAAATAATCAAGCATCAAACCATGAAATTCTTGATAGCCAAACTGAATCAAGTAGGGAGATGCAGACTCCCGGGTTGGGGCCCTCGGGACTCTAGGAATCAATGGCTGGAGACAATAGGTGACATGGCTCAAAATCGTTGTCAATGGCCTGGGCAGATGTATTCAGTCTCTGTAATCTTTCATATTCCTTTCTACCATTACCCATTCTGTTTCACTCTTATACTTGTCAAACTCTATTGATTCTCTTCACTCATCTTCTTGTCTACCTCTGTGTGCTATTTGGAACGTGGCAACTCGAACTGCTGCACTTCGGTGCCAAGTTCTATGTTGAATCCAGACAGAGACAGATGTAAAACAAGAGAACGAAAACAGCTGATAGAAAAGCGCACATGACACTAGACGTATAACCCTAACAACTCATTATTTTCCTGACTGGAAACTCAGTAGTAATTAATGTTATGAATCAAGTCCTTCGTTCAATCAGTTTAATTTGCAATATGGTCACTATGCTAGGCAGGTCAACATCAGCACTTTGAATTGTTGTTGTTATCAGATGGCTGGAAGTAATCGTCAGGATGCCTTGGACTTAAATTTCGTGCTTATTGGCATTCATCATCAAAGCAACCTTGAGGGAACTCATATGCTTTCTGATATTTCGAACCCGTTCTGAGCCAAACAAAGGACTAGACGCATGACATTAGTTTCTACCTTGGGTCCAAATCAAAGTATCCATTAGAGTCCTATAGGAGGTCAACAGCAAACCCCAACAGCTCAATGATAACGGTTTCGACTGCAGCACTCACCAGGTGACACGCGTCCAAATCTCAGAAGGGACATGAGTTCCTTCAAGATTGCACATATACACCTTGTTGACTAGTGAGTGTCAACGGGCACGAAGCCTAGCTTCAGAGCGTCCTGACGATTACCTCCAATCATCTAAAATCTCCTTATGACTTAAGACAAGGCAATCAGATCAATTCCAAAGCAAAGTTGAATTTCAAAGTGGTATTATTGCTACTATTACTATGAAAAAAAGAAAACCTGTAAGGCTGAAGAAGAAACAAAGCAATATATCTGATAAATTTATGCACAAACATGACAAAAGGACCCAGTTACTTAGACAGCTTCATCATTTCTACTGTTACATGAATTAAATATACATATGTTTTTTTTAAATTCATGAAATTGCTTAATTTCAGCTAATTTAGGAAGAAAAAAAAGAAAAGAGACACATGACGATACTACACAATAGTGTGAAGGAGGTTATTTCCTCTTAGTGTTATTATTTATAGCGACCAGATGCAGACACACTGTATTAGGGAAGAGGAGAGAAGGTAAGAAGGAAATAACAAGATGAAAAAGAGGTATCACACAAGTACGCATGTTATTCAGATTAGTAGTTAGTGTGTGTGTGTGTGTGTGAGAGAGAGAGAGAATAGCAGAACAACTAATGATATTTACAGGAGATGTATGCCAAAACTGTACTTCATTCAATTGTTTTCACTTTAAGAATGGCATGATGCTGATCACTTTGCCAAATAATCTTTAAGAATTTAATTTCATCTTGAAAAACTTCGGCTAAGCACATATAAAGCATTTATGAGAAGTTCTATAGTTTAAAGAGATGTCACTCAGCGATATGAGCGCTCAACTTTCAGCCCCGGGTACGGCTGCTGCTCCACCTACTATCTACATGCAACACACTGTGTACCTGGGTACATGAGTTCTGACATCATGAGATGAAGTAGTGCAGTGTAAAATTCCCAGGTATCTAGAAAAGCAACAAAAAAAACTAGGGGATGTATCACAGTAAAATGTTTTATGTTTCAACATGAAAAAAAGCTCCTTGATTTACAAGTCATCCTGGAGAATAAGCTATTGCTAAACAGGAAAAGTACCATCTATCTCAACTGAATTTGTTATTATGAAATTAAACAGTTACAGGTGCAAAAAAATCATCACAGGTTTCCCCTAGAAACCGAAAACATTTAGGTTACAATCTAAGGTCTACTTATTATTATAATAAACAGCAGATAAAACAGCAACATGGAATAATATCTTGGTCTCACACTGTTGATTATTGAGTGATTGGAAACCACCCGCATCGCGCAGAAATGATTGTGAATCGGGCTTAACGCTTTAACTGGAGAAATAATACTAACAATAATAGGGAGAAACCATCAAACGAGAAGCGGAACTCGTTTCCAACCCATCAAAAAGCCGAACATGACACCAAAAAAAGTATATAATTTCGTAATCAAACTGGATGTTACCATTGTTAATCAATGCAGAACTCTGCATGAACATAAATCACTTAGCAACGACAGAATAGGAAAAGCAAAAAAAGAAGATAACAAGAATGTAGTAACACTATAGCAGACAAACACCTGCCTATATATATATATATATATATATATATATATATATATATATATATATATATAGGCAGAGAGGCACTGAGAGAGGATAATATGATGAAAATCAATGAAAATATCGAGATTATCAAAAGGTAAGCAGCTGATGTATTTTCTTCATTACCATCAAGGATTTTAAACCATTTATCTGAGAGTCAGCAACCGTATCTCGCCACTTCACTTTTACACAGTTACTTAAAAAGTGAGTTACGTAGATCAAACTTTTCAAGTACGCGGGGGAGGGAGCTATGAGTCACACTTCCTGTATGATGGTTGGTGATGACATACCAAGTTGCTCAGGCGCAAACAGCTTCAACAGGATTTTAACCCCGTGAGTCCATTTGATTGTCTGAAAATTCAGTGCATAAGCCAATAAGTTAGTCATCATATCTGCCCCATTATTAATCAGAAGAATGTAAGAAACACAGCCAACTTATAACTAAAGATATTTGTGGCACAGCGGTAGAATACTTGACAACCACGCCTCACGTGGTTTGGGGTTCTATCCCCGGTCGACGCACTCTTAAACCGGTAACACAGGAAAGGTTTGGCGTGAAGCTAGCAACCCTTACCCCTTAAAAAAACAAACACTACTGCCACCGAAAATTCGAAACTCAAGTTTGAAGCCCTATGTTCCATTAGGAACGAACAGGAATAAAATAATTAGTAATGATAACAATATATAATAAACAGCAAATAGTTTGATTAAACTTTTAATTATTCTCTTAGGCGCCTTGCTTTATATTGTCGCTATTAGTTCAACTTTACATAAATGTAATTCTAAACAACTGAAAAAGAAATACAATACACTAATTTAAGTTTTTTTCAATTAGGATCCATTTAAAAGATAACTTCCATTTAAGTTTTGAATTTATAGAATATAATTTTTCAAAAATTTATTAACATAATTCAATTCAATTAATAGATAATTTATAATACTGTTCAGTAATTAGATTAGCATACTTTCAAAGGCATTCACACACACACACGCACACACCCACACAAAGACAAAGCTAGTTATTGAATGTTGGAAGGTAATTATTGTTTCCCAGTACGAATTTCAACAGAAAACCGAACAACAAGAAGACGTAATTTACCTGAAACTTGTAATACCGCATTCGCACCACACTTACTTAGGACATTCTGGTTAGGCGCACACAGGCGCACTTCATGAATAAGAAAGTTAACAAACAGAGTGTAAAAGGTTAAAATCGAATCAATATCGGTCAAAATGTTTATTTAGAGGTCAACTCATTGGTAGGAGGTAAGAAAAGTAAGGGGTAGAGATATTACTAGACAAGATAAGCTTTGGTTTTTTAATTGGATTAAACCAGGGTACTCTCACAGTAGTGCTAAATAATTTTCGAACAAACGGAAGAGCTTTAAGCCACTTTACGGCTACGACTCTAACGAATTCAAGTTTAAGACCCTAACCTGTTTATATATATATATATATAATTTTCATTGAGTTCCATGTGCAACACG